TGTATCTTCCCAGAGCTCACTTTTTTAAAACTGAATCATCTTTAAATAAACAAAGCCAGGACCCTTACCCAGGAAATTCACCAGTTAAAGAAGAATGTGTGACTTTTTGATCCAGTAGATGTCGCCCTTGGGCGTCAGCATGAAACCAAAACAAACTGCTTTTTGGCCACACCTCCTCCAGACTGAAGCCTCCGCTCTCCTCCAGCGAAAACATTATCATGAGTGTCTCGATGGTCACTGGGTTCAGATTAGCTGATCACAGAGCCACACATTTTTGCCCTGATTTGACCGAAAGACATGCACAGTGGTAACCGACCAATCATCACACCCAATGTGATGACTGCTGGATGGAAGAGGGCAGAGCTAAACGACATCCAGAAAGTTGTTGATATAAAACAGTTGTCGCCAGAGCTCGACAACAGTCTGTCTCATAGTTTTATCTCGCTTCTACGACGTCTTCTTTCACTTCACCATTTTGAGTTTTTTTTACCTCGTGACTTTTGCATGTGCAGAGCGATCTGTGCTCTCATTGGTCAACAGCACTGACATGACAGAAAAGGTGGTCGACGGCTCATAACGTGTAGTCTGCCCTCGACATTAGGCATCATATGTGTGCTACTCAGTGTTTTACTGTGACACACAACAAGAACTACACCTCTCAGCCACATCAGTGCATCACAGCTCAAGTGTGATCCAATCCTCTGCAGAGCTTCCTGAAGCCCCTGGATCCAGCTTCGCCTCAGACAACGACACTGAGCTTCATTGATTTAGTATTGATCTTTATCACCTCGCTCTCTTGCTGTGTCTCATACTGATGGAAATTTACAGACCACTGCACACTAAAAAGCAAGCCACTGTGCATTTGCTGCTTTAAAAAGAAAAAAAAGATCCCTCTCCCATCTGTTGTCTTTTCTTTTCCGTACATGCCTGACAACTCTATGAAAGCAGTGACAGTACAATGAGGAAGTGAGACTTCAGTGAATGAACGAGGAAATCCCGAGCCTGTAGTTAGAAATCACTGAATAAACCCTGTTTGCTCTATTGTACGTAAACTGAATAGGAATCAATTAACACAGAACAAACGGCTCACACAGGGTAGTACAAGTGCTGTCATTTCCATCTGTGTGTGTGTGTGTGTGTGTGCAAACAATAGATCAAAACACCAGCTGTGACAGTAGACTGACAAATGAGCAGGCAGGAAGCATTCAGATAATGACCAAGCACACTGACGGAGCAGTTTGAAGGATCTTCTCACACTGAATTTAACCGATGTGCATGGACCAACTTGGTGCCTTCTAGGGCTGAGCTCAGCAATGGATGTGGCAATACATTGTTGTGTACTCAAAGAATCGATATGGCAGTGACTCTGGGATGGCAGTTTTATAAGACACATCGCCTATGGGGTTGTCACACCTCTTAAAATATGTTAAAACAGAAAAAGCCATTGGCTTGATTTGATGCAAACAGTCTGCACGCCTGGGTGGAAAATTCTGCTTATGGTTGGGTGGAGGTTATGAAATTTTTTTCTTCCTGTATTTCCATTCACATGACACATTCATTAGACGCTGCACAGTTATAGCAGTAGTACTCTAAACCTACGCAGGACACGTTCTCAACCCCAGAATAACTTAAATCCCTACTGAAAAAAATGATTTCTTGTACCCAAGCTTCTAAATTATCTCTGTTATGGTTCGGTAAAACAAAAAAGGTCAAGTTGTACGGCTGGGAATGAATACTTATCTACAGACAACATGTAGAGCTTCTCACACCAAACCCATGCCAGTACCTTGAGACGTCTTTATGGCAAAGAGGTCAACAGCTTAAAGAACCCCTGAGCTTCTGCTGCAGTTCAGCTGTCAAAAGGCTCTAACGTCTTCTAGTCTTTTATTTCTCTTGGTTTAAATAAACCAGTCTGAAATATTGGTATCAGTATTTTTGAAGAACAGTTACCGTCCAGGATATGAAAGAAAATCCTCCTCAAAGCCTTTTCTCTGGAAAGACAACAACACGTCAATAAAAGATGCTTCCCCCTGCAGAAGCCTGTGTTATTTCAGCTGTCTAATGGAAGATCTGTATTTGCACAATCGTGGGGCCGGGTCAGTGCTGCGCTGTGTGAAAGTGCCTCTGGCCATTTTGGCGTAACATACACCAGAAGATAATCTTCCACGGCTTCTTTTTAGATTATCAGATTCCCCTTTTCTAGTCATTGTAATTTCATCCAACAGGTTACAGTAAGAAAGGGATGTAGGTGTGTTCATCCGAGAGCAATCATTAAAAGCAAGTCATACCTTAACCATCAATGTGTTTTGAAGCACATTTCTATACAGATGTGAGCTCAAGCACAAGGATTGAAGCTGGTGAATTTCTGGCAGTGTGGCTCCAGCTTTAGAGAGATTTGGACCGCGCTTGGTTTAGCTTGGCTGCCGTCTACCACTCACTGACCTGGCAACAACAATCCCACACTGCAGGCAGCTGCGCGGTCATGACACTGCTGTGACCGCTGTGTGTGGGGCTGTTTTCCCTCCATACAAAAACCATGGGTCGTCTTACGTTTGCAGTCTTATCTCACACAGCGGGAAGGCTGGAGGGGTTTGACTCGGTTGGTATGTGTATACGTGAGATCTTTCACGTATACCATCTGCAGGTTCAGCTGAGGCACAATCACTGGAAATTAACAACAGATACGGCATTGCCTTAATACTGCATTTCTTTCTTTGTATTGTCACCAAGGTAACTCAACATTTAAAAAACACTTGCTTCAAATGCACCGCTTATCTTGATGTTGTAGCTCGATAAAATTGTTCATAAACGTACTTTTAGGACCAACAGCGTATCGGTCTTAACATAAGACCACATTAAGCTTGACGTAAAGGATGTAGGGGTTGGAGAAAATGTGAATTATGTGAGAAACAGCAAACACTACAACTACCAAATCGACGACCAAATTACACAATAACACTGTGCCTAAAAAACTGAAAATATGAACCTTTAAATGTGGGATATTTTGCAAGACTTTTTCGTACTAGTTTAACAAGGTTGATCTTAAACTTGCAGCTGAGTGCAGAACACGGCCAATCCAAAGTGCCATAACCTATAGCTGACACAACAGTCCTGCAAACACTTTTCCAACATCAGCACCAGAGCACAGCTGACCTTTGCCCCGGTCATATCTGCTGTCCCTTACACAACAACCTGGTTGTTTTTTTGCTAACAGGTTCAGCTTCACTAAGCTAACAGAATAGATTTTGCATAAGTCTTCAACATATTTGGGTTGTTGTTGCTTCTGCAGAGATACTGAACCTTATAATTCACTTATCAGACTCTTTTATCCAAAGCGACGTACATCAGAGAGTAAGAACAACACAAGTAAGGATCTAGAAAAAAGGGAACAATGTGAGTAAGGCAAAATTTCACTAAGTAAGTAAATCTGAGTTTGCAGGGGTTCTGAACTAAACGGCATCTGTCAAGACATCCTTCCTAATGTTGCATTACACTCATCTGAGCATGCAGGGCACTTTTGCAGGAGGAAATCAGTCTGAAAGGGATTGTCTCACCCCAAGTTAGTCGGGGTAAGCTTACATTGGATAGTTATGACAGATCAAATCCGCCATGAAGCAATTGAATAGGATTTTTACTTCGGAAACCACACTGTTAAGCCCCATACAGTTCAATCAATCAAACTTTATTTATATAGCACCTTTCAGACAAATTAAATTGCAGTTCAAAGTGCTTTACAAGAGTGCAGAAAAGTTGTTGACAAAAAGTAGTTTATAAAATCATTGAGAGACTAATGCACACCAATAAGAATTTTAAAAATATGTATTAAAATAAAATACATAAAAGCAACAAGATATTAAAATAAATACATAAGAGGAAAATATTTAAAATTGTAGTAGGATAAAAAGACGATACAGTAATGTTAAGATTTGAATTGATATAAAGAACTATATAAAAGCCAGACTGAATAAATGAGTTTTCAGATTGTGGAAGTGGAGGATCTGAGGGGTCGTACTGGTTCATCAACTAAAATCATGATCTGATAGGTAGTCTGGTGCAAGGCCATGTAATACTTTATAAACTAATACAAGAATGTTAAAATCAACAGGAAAACTAACAGGCAGCCAGTGTAAAGATTTTAGGAGGCTGGTCTGAGTCATGAAAGTGAGTCCATATACTCCGGGCCCTGTGTACTGTACACCATATGTTACAGCCAAATCCTCTTGTAATGCAGGCCACTGGCCGGATAAGATTATGCAATGTGCCAAGGCTTTCACAGGAGGCCCAGACATGAAGAGTCACAAGAATCAATTCATTGCACAAAAAGATCTTTTGCAGCAGCAAAGAGAAATCCTGCAGAACATTCCAGCACAGACTGTTTACTGGGAGCTGGAGCATCAATACCCCCCCCCCCCCCCAGTAAAACCAGCAAAGAGCAGAAAACGAAACTACACAGACTCCAGCTCAACAGAAGAACAAGAAACACCGGAAGTAGTGTCTTTGTAGTTCTGTAAACTGTTGCATTAAAAAAAAAGAAGTGAAAACAGATTATTATTCTTCATATTCTCGACACACAACTGCAAAATATTAAATGCTAAATTAAGCACAATTTAAAAGAAGCTATTCCAGTTGTGTTGACACCACCCTAACAGCATGAAACGTGTGATTATTTAATAAATGTGAATGTTTCTGTGTCGGCAGTTCACAGCCACAGATGTGATGGAGCTGCCTCCAGATGCTAACTGTTAGCCGTTAGCTTCCCACCACCAACTTGAAGGCGTTAACGTGTCTTAACACCCCTCTGTGTGATCCAATGTTACCCGCAAAATAAAGACGTTACAGCATCACAATCCCCAAACTAAAACAAAAAAACGAGCAGTGAAACGATTTTAAAGACAATGCACAGCGTCGGGACAGAGTTAGCTTAGCATGTTAGCTGCTAAGATGCTGCTGAGAGGAGCGGTTAGCAGAGGCAGCTAATCGGTCGCTTCGGGGTTTCTTACCAGGTCAAAACAAACAGGACCGCGCAGCAGGATGCATTAATCTCTGGTTTCTGCAGTCTGGAGGAGGAGGTGGTGGTGGTGGTGGTGAGGGGGGAACAGCAACTTCGATGAAATCAAATCAGGCGGTGTAGAAATGTTGTCAGGAACATTTTAAACACACACGAAGATTAAATGATTTCTGCTTCTTCTTCTTTTTCCTGCTCGGACTGGATGCTCCGTTTCTGCAGGTCGTCGCTGCTGCTTAGCGAGTCTGTAGCTCTGTAGTCTCTCTCTCTCTCTCACTCCAACACACTCACTACAGCGCATACACACACACACACACTCACACACACACACCCCTCGGAGGGCTGGACCTGCCAAACTCTGACCACGCCCTCCAGACCGACAGCAGCAGACACGCAAACAGTCAACTTCATGATTATTGATTTGTTTTAATGAAATCAATCAAACTTTTCCTCATGCACTACATCACTTTATTCTATTTCAGTATTCAAACAGGTCTGGTTTCTTTATTCCTGATGTTTCTAATCCATCTCTACGGTCACTTTATTTATCTCATTTTTACCTTTACAGTTATATTGTGTTGTTCTGTTGTTCCATTATCATTTAGTATTTGCCTACTTGCACATAGTTATGTTTATATCTGTTTACATCTGTCAGTCCGATCACTGTCCACTTATATCTACTCTTTTTATATTTAGTATTTAGTAAGTTTAAGCTTTAAGTTGTATTTAAATTGACACTTTATATTTAGGTTAAAATGTTTCGTCTACCTGCACTGTTGTTAATTTACTGCTCTGTGTGCCTTTGAATTGTCCCCCGGGGACAAATAAAGTTTTTTGAATTGAATTGAATTGAAATCAAACTTAGGCTACTAGCCGAGTGTTGCTGCACACATTGAAGGCAGCTGTCCATCAGAGGCTCCTGATGCATTTAGTGTTGAAACAGTCTGCCAATCGAGCAGCAGAAGAAGTTGCAAGACACACGTTGATGCTGGCTTTATAGAGCAGGGGTTCCCAAACATTTCAGCTCGGGACCCCCTAAATAGCTGTGACTACAGACTAGAGACCCCCGACCTAAAAAGCCTCTGCATGTTTCTAATAAGCTCCACGAGCAGAAATGTGCTCAAACTAGGATCAATATTGGAGATGCTTTTGAGAAATGGAGAGAGGTTAGAACACAGAAAGGTTTACAGACCCATGCAGAGCTGGATAAACACTGAAGCTTCAGAGTCTGCAACATTAACAACCTACCTCACTTAATAACAGTTTCTTCACTGGATGGACCTTCTCTCGGGTGTTCCTTCTTCATGTTAGGATCACCCTGGGTGGCAGGAAACACATTTCCTCCCCTGGACGTGGCCTTTATCATCATTTATCTTCATGAGAAGAGCACTTATAGGAGGCAATTTAACCCTTTCATAGATTATTATGATCTTTTTGATATTACTTATCTTTCAGGATCAAAACCTACCCAGAGATATTTCCCCGTCAGACATTTTGCAGAATAAGGAACATTAGACATCCAAGCACACTTGTCAGAGTCATAAGCCTACGCAATACAAAAAAAATAACTCAACACCTGTCCAAGAAAGATGAATGAAGTGAGTTTGAGTACCAGCTGTGCAGCAGGTATGTCTACTGTTTTAAAAAGCAAAATGAAATGAGGCATGGTGATTTTTAACTTCACTTGTTTGATCGTTTTTCCTGACTTTGTGCAAAGGGTTATTAAAGTATCCATCTCTTCATCCATCGGTCTCATATGAAATCAGTTGAGCTCTACTGCCACCTGGTGGACTCGTTGCATCACTGCACTTTGATCTTAAAGAACTCCATCAACAACAACATCGCTTTCCTTAAGTTTCAATTAAGTTTCACTTTCAATTCCAACAGTCAAGTCAAAGAATGAAACACAGAAATGAGTTTCTCTAAAGACACTTTATTGATTCTTCTTCTTCTTTTTATTATTATTTTCATTTTACACTCAGTGGAAAGTTTATCTGTGTGTTTGGTGGACATTTCCAAACACTCACCCTCTGAATATCTGTTACCAATCCAAGATTTAAATAGCAAAAAAAACAACTCTACTGCATTAATTCAAAATACATGACACTATCAAGTCTTAAGGTGAAACTCTCGCTAACATATAGGCTGTACTACGGAGCCCGGAGGAGATCAGTGTGGCTTTATTTATTTAAATGTATGCTTTCTATTAAATGCATGTTTTAGTAACCTGCCACACGACAGCCTCTCAAATCATACAGAAGTACACACTCCTGTTAATAAAGGATTTTTTAAATGCATCAGAGTGCCTCAGACTTTCAGTTCAGTCTGCCATTTCTTCACAAATAATTTATTTATTAGCAATTTGACCTCTGACCCCTGTCCTTAAAGAGCACATGATTGTTTCCTCTACATTTTTTGACCCAGTGCAGCACAGAAGTCAGGTTGGAAAGGTTGCATGACACTTAAAGACTTTTATTTTAAGGAAATGTAACATATGGGGGCGCAAGTAGCTTAGCTGCTAGTGCGTGCGCCCCCATGTACAGAGGCTCAAGTGTTGGAGAGTGTGCGGCCCGGGGTTCCATGCGACCTCTGGCTCCTTTCCCGCATGTCGTTCTCCACTCTCTCTCTCTCTCTCTCTCTCTCGCTCTCTCTCTCCCCTGGTTTCTGACTCCATCTCTGTCCTAGCTCTAAAATAAAGGCACCAAAATAATCTTTCAATGTGCTTTGTTTCTCAAATAGTGCGTGCATGTTATTATAACGGGTGCATGAAATAGAAATTGTGCATGCATTGTAAAAACAGAAACCATACTGACGTCACCTCCTCCTCCGTACTCAACGGGTGCATTTACAAAATTAAGCTTTTTTTTCATATTTCATATATAAGATATAAAACAAGAGTAATGCACATTCTTCAAAAGATAAAGGGTACGTTCTGCTGTCGTTTAAATGCAGATTTATGTTTGAGTGAATCCTCTTCGCTGGAAACAAAAAAAACAGATGTCATTGATAAAAAAAAGTGTATCCACAGCATACCAAATGGTAACACGTGTGACCGTATTGTTCAGGACATTTACTTGATGAGAGATTAAATTGAGGACGGGCAGATTAACCTCTCCCAGAAGGAGTGCATGAACATCTGGACGATCAAATGATGTACAAAAAGTGAAAGTCTTGTCTCCGAGCTAAAAAAAGAAACACAAATAAAATATTTTCTGATGATTTAAAAAAACACAGTTCACGTCCAGATTTAAAGGGTTACTTTGATAATGTTGTGTATTTTTTGTTGTTGTCAACAGATCAACCCTGCCTGAAGTTTTTTCTGGTATAACTTCCTCGTCTGGACTTCGTGACTCCACTAATCGCTGGCGACAGATCCTCTCTACTTTGGTGTTTTACGCCGTCTGATTTATGTGGTGCTCCCTCTAGAGGAATCCTCCAGTAACACGCTTTGTACATCGGCAAGTATGTGAACATTTACGCCTATGAAGCAGCCGGTTGTCTACGCTTACATGTGGTTCAAAAGCAACTTTATTTAAACCCTTAGTCTTCCTTTTGCCTGTATTTATAGATTTTGTCCACCACCCAGTACTCAACCATTCAGATGTGTGTGCTGCTTGATACTTTCATTGTAGTAAAAACCCACAAGCATGAACTGTGTATTCATCCACAGCTGAAAGTAGTCCCCTGCAGTCATGATGTTTACTGTTCTCAGCTGTTACAGGAACTTATATAGTTTTATTCCTGGTGTGTTTTAAAGGTAAACATCTTCATAAAAGGGAATAAATGTAGTTCAGAGGGATTGTGTTTGGAAAGGCAGGGTTGAATTTAGCGGGATGTTGGTGAATGCTAACAGAAAAACAAGAATATGACCAACCTTACACTTTACATATGCTATAATACGTAGCCCAATATAGTTGAGATGTGTGTTTTTTTTATATATATTGCTTTAATACACATTTATTTCAAAGACACGGCTAAATAATCTCTCAACCTGTGACAATATAAAACAGTTTGTCGAGTTAAACCCACTGACTGTATAAAAGACGTCAACGTAGCCACTGGGTCTGAGAGTGCCTGAAGGCTGCATTCTGTTTAATGGCCAGCAGGGGGCGACTCTACAGCTCACAAGAAAATGAACCAGACCTCTTACTTGATTTATTATCAAAGTAGACATTTTCTTTACGAGTTTCTGGTCTCAGTCTTTTCTTTAAGGCATGATGTTCCCATTTTGAGACACATAAAGCCAATTATGTCACAAGCAAGGTGACCACGAGGGGCAGCTATAGCCACGTTTCCACCGAGCGGTCCAGTTCAGTTTGGTTCAGTATGGTACGCATTTATTGCTGTTTCCACTCTCAAAAGTTGGGAATGGTACCAAAATAACCGATCCGTACCATTCTACTTTTTTGCTACCCTTCTGTTGGGCTGCCAAGCGTACCAATCGGACCCTAAAGGGTGGAGCTAGACACCCTGCAGTCCCTTGATTGGCTGAAAGAATCTGCACTTCCTGAGCAACAGCAGTAACAACGTTTTTTGTTGTTTTGTTGTAATGTCAGCACATAGCACCGCCCCATGGACGACCTTGGAGGTGCAGACCTCCATTGTTGTCCTTTGAACACTGTGTCGCGTTCTTCTTCTTCTTCTTCTTCTTCTTCTTCGTTGAATTTATTGGCAGACTAAACTGTGTCGACCTGATCAGGGTTTACTGAACCAAACCAAACCGGACCGATTGGTGGAAACGGGGCTGAAGTGTAAGTCACCTCTTGCCTTGAAATACTAAAAACAGACAGATGACCTCATGATGGCTACGTTCACTTCTTATATACAGTCTACATGTAAACCACAGGCAGTCATGCTTTCTTAGTGGCTTTAATAATCAAGTTTATTTTCAGTCCACAGACTGTAATTTATGCAGAGATGGCACAAAATCAACTACTTTCCATTCTTTAAAATGTACTGACACAACACCCAAGCAATCATTCAGATCCTATTTGACAAGGTGAGTGCTGAAGAGTAGCGTGTTTGTTTGACACTCATAACTAGCATGATGACACGGTGAACACACACTCAGTGGTAGGTTTCATGTCTCTGAAGCTGAACCGCAGACTGACTTTGTGCCCCTCAAACCCAGGTTAACAGATCCTACTGTAAATGTTGGCATGGTACAAATATCCTTCCAGTAAAATACGAATATAGAGAAGTGAAAATCTTAACAATTAAAACACCCACACTGCATCTTCAAAAGGAGAGTCCTCCTGCTTCTTCAAAAAACGTCAACACAAAGGTCCCTTAGAGTAAAAACTGAACGACGCCTACACCTGTGGGAACAGATGGCGGCGTCTCGTTCACTATAAGACAAAGTATAGCTACAGTTGTAAAGACAGATGTGGTGGTTGACTGCATCTAGATAGATTGGCTGACTAAAACGAGCCGACCAGCATTAATATTTATATACAAACTAAAGATATCTCTTAATGTGCTCGATAGATTTTCAGGCAGAAGGAGGGGGGGCAGTACAGTTTGATTGTAGATTACACCTTGTGCTTCTCAAAAACAGTCCTGTTGGTGTGTTTTGTCTCGCTTGAGCCTCACGTGCTGGGGAGCCGAGGATTAGGCTTCATACACCCTGTGGAAAAACAAAAACCAGAGTTAGTTTTCTGTCATTTCATTTTACTGCCCTCACGAGTTAGTTAAGTCTATCACATTAAAAAAACAAAGTAAAGAAAACTTATAGAGGTTTTCAGGATGAGCTGCATGTGTGAACACAAACAGCTGAATTTTTCTTTCTGACTTCATCTATTTTTAATAAGGGACTGTGTCCATTTATGGCCTTTTGGGGCTGGCAGACACTTTTTTCTAAACAGAACCAATCAAGTTCAGCGTTTCCAGCGCTCTGCGTCAGCTCTTCTTGACTCTGCGCTCACAGCGCTCTTGGCACAATGTCACTCCTTCCTATCCAACCAATCAAAATACTTCTCTTCTCATGATTCATGTCATGCACCCAGACATGTTTTTTTTTTTCCAAGGGCAGTTTCCAGGTGTAGACCTGAAGATATTGCCAGGACTCCAAGGACTTCTCCTTTCCACAGTTATGACCTTTTCTTTGTAAAATAAAATATAATACTAACCATATAGAGCACATTCAAAACACTCTAAGCCGTCACTACAAAGGGGAGCAGAAGTGAACCTAGGAAACAGTCCCACTCCCCACAAGGAAAATGAACATTTCTCTGTCAGTATGAGTGCATATGGTGTTGGTTGTTGGGTTTCTAATCTGAGAAGTTGTGCCCACCCTGGGGAACAATGCATCAGCTGTTACTGTTACCAAAGTTAAGCACGGCTGGGAAGCGCACTGAAATGAAGGTTATTACAACGCCGTTTGGTGGACTCTTGCCCTTTTTAGAGCAGTGATGGTTGGGGTCCTTACCAACCCGAAAGGTCAGGGGTCATTTACTACATTTCTACAAGGGCCAGCTTTTTTCTTGCCAAACACAAAATGCTTCCACATAGTCCTGACAGCCGTTGAGCCCAACATGAGGAGGAGGTGTTACCCAATGTGAGGATTTCAGCTTTGGGATTTTATTTTTATGTTTTTTTTTAATCACCTCAGGAGATAATTTTGATTCTGGGGGCCGGGCAGGAAGCTTTGGGGGGCTGGATGTGATCCCTGTGATATGTTGTAAACAGACCCGATAGAGGGCGCTGACACAACGGCATGGACCCCACCCATTATGTGCATGCATGCCACAAAAAAGTGAATCAATCAAGGTGTAATAACAACGACCTATTTACCATGCTTAAAAATGTATGACACCAACTTCTCTTTAAATTGAATTTAAATGTGAATATTTTCATTAATTAGGTGCCAAAAGTCCTGAAAGTGGGCAAATATTGAGTGTTATTCTCTAGTATAATTAATTCATCAAAAGGTTATTACCTGTGCTTGTCCTTCCAGATGCGGAACCATTTGACCAGATTCTTGGTGCTCTGGAGTTTGGGGTGAAGACAGTACTCCTGACCTTTGAAGCGGGCCACGTTCTCCATCGTCACGCTGACAGGGAACACAAACACGAAGGATCGAATGTCAACAAGAATATAAACGCTACAAATCATTTAGATTTACTGGAACTCTGAAGCCACTTCAACTCAAGTTTGTTTTGTTTGGCATGACGGCTAATGTTGCTCTAAGTTTTATAGCTCCAAAAAAACACAACAGTATACACAAATAGTAACTAAAACACATGAGATCAGGTTATAAACAAAAGTCCATCGACCTTAGAACTTCTAAAAAATGCAGTTAGAGCATCGATTTGTCAACATGAACAGCGCTGGAGGGGCGATAAGACACGCCCATTCACATCATACAGCCTATAGCAGGTTTAACGAGTTTTTTCAGGATGAAGGACGACTCCAGAAGCAGCAATTGCCAATTTCTCCACATAAATACAGTTTAAGGTCGCCAACTTCTCTCCTCCAGAGTCTCCTGAAGGCCATGATTAGACGGTCAAAAGCCGGATCAGTTTGAACCGCTAGCGTATAGGTAGCGAGTGCTGAGAAAGCCGATGGCGAGGACAGTGGGGGGCAGGAGAGAATGGGGGCTGCTCAGATTGGTAGATGCTGCCCCCTGGAGGATTTTAATGTTATGGCATTTAACATTTTTAAACCAATAGCCATGTTTTTGCACTAAACAATCGCCATATTTCACGACAAGCCACTTCGATATCAGTTGTAATCAAACCGTGCTCCTGATGTGGTTGTTCCCACATGCACCTTCCCCCCGATAAGGAAGATCTCCCGCTTTAAAGGCCCTGACACACCAAGCAGATGGCAAAGAACCAGTGGTGACAAAGGCCGCCTGTGACGTCGCCTCAACTCGCCTTTTGTCTTGGCCAAAAAGTTGCACTTGAACACACCGCAAAGACTCTAGCTGACGGCCAACCACCACGTACGTTCTACACATGCGTGAGAGCAAATAACTCTCCATGCCAGCAGGCCACTCGTATTATAGGTCATCTACTAATGGAGAATAATGTCTGATAAAAAGTTGAAAATGGCGCTGGCGTTGTCAGCTCTTGGTCATTTAGTGGAAAAAGAAAAGAAGAGGCTGAGGAGACAAATAAGGAGAAACCGCACTAATGGGTGAAAGCATGGAGACTACAGCAGCATGCTCAAGGGGCTTTACTGAACCTGAGAGAGCTGGAGAAACCTCTGAACAGCCAATCAGAGAGATTCCTGTCACCAACCGCAGACACCGATTCAACATGACACACCACAAAAACTAGGGCGACGACCGATCACTGGTGGTCCAACCAGGGCCGATGATCTCCTTGGTGTTTCAGGGCCTCAAGGTGCATGTGGGAACAACCAGATCAGGGGCAGTCCTCCTGAAATTCTGGCTTTTTTTTAGAAGAATGCGACAACTGTGGCGTCTTCAATAGAACGAGACAAGATCGACTACAGGAGCCAATGTTCAGAATGTTGTTTTGAGAGTTTGAGAGAAACACAGGGTCATTTCTTTCCCCAGTTCTCAGCTGTTATTCTGAACGGCCCTGAAAAACACTTCCACAGTTAGATGCCCTCTCGTCTGAAAAGACCAGCATGCACAGGGCGACCAGCATGCTACTTGGCAAAGAAATGATATCATGGAGCTGCCACTAAAAAAAAGTGTGACATCTAAAGCTCATTGAATCAGTCGCTCGAGCTGTTACCCTCCGCTTAAGGCAACGGTGGAGACAGTCTGCCTGCATGTGGCATATTCAGGCCAAACAAGAGAAATGTGGGAAAAAACTCCCACAGTGCCATGGGGCCTCTCCAGCCAGTGACACACTCAAAGACTCCCCAAACCATGAATGTTAAACGAGTTGACTGGAAGAGAAAAGACTGGACTCTCAATAAAAACTCTGCTTTCAGTGGTAATACGGTTTGCATCTATTTTCCTGCTCATTCAGTCGTCATTCTGCGCTTCGGTCGGACGGCTGTATCTGCTTTGTTGTCGACCAAGCGAGCGGTGAATGTCAGGGCAGAAAACATGAAAGTGCTTTTGTTTGCGGAAAACCACATCGGAAATAAACACCCCGTGCATGTTGTCATCCATGGCTGCTCAGCTGAGGTGAAGGTTCACCTCGTTACTGTTTTAATCTGAGTTCCTCCTCATTATGATTCACCTGGGGCAGCTTCGGTTGCAGCCACTGGCTCCAAAGGCTAATACTGTTAGCCGAACGTTACATAAGCATGAGCAGAGGGGAGGAAAGAAAAGGCTGTGAAGGGGCTGAGAAAGAAGAATGTGGTAGGAGAGAGGGGGAAAGAAAGTCCTTTTCATCTCCTGCTGCCTCAAACTTTTACTTTAAAACTTTTAAAGGACAAATATTGTCGTGGGTTTTTATGCTACCGGTATCAACACTGGGGAGTAAAGAAATGTATTAACGATGTATCGGCCGATGTCTTTCTTAGATTTATGTTAGATCTGTAGAGATAAATAGAGATATTCACATTTATTGTGTTGATCCCTGAAATTCTTGTAACGTCAAAATGTTTCTCCTCCGTTTGACGTCATCGTGCGACGCTGTCTCTTGAGATTAGAGAGATTAGAGCGATGGAAGACAAACTAGCGCTGGTGCTAACGTTGCTAACTGGACTTTTTACATGCTCACACATAAGTTACTCTCAAACTATGTTGATGAGCAGAGACGTCTGATTGGACGACGGAGGTCACTGCTGCTTCATACAACACTGATGGAACTAACCATGTGGCCAACTTTGGAGGTTTTGGACGAGACACCGGTTGGACTTCCGGTTGGTGGGACGACTTTGAAAATGAAATAGTCATTGCAGAGGAATGGCGAGAAAATGTGAGAAAATAAATAAAACAGAGACATGACAGATAAAGAATCCCAAAGAATGAAAGAAAGAAAACAAGAAATGATGTTAATGACATGAGTAGTAAACAGGAACACTTCAGGGCTCCTATAGCTCGTGAGTGCGACGCTATGAATGCCAAATTGAGCAGCGTAAGCCAAGCGGTCACAACAAAGGCCGGGGGGGTTGGGGGGGTTGACGAGGGACAGGGGGGTCGGGGGGGGGCTCTCGCTCACTCATTTCTCTCCTACTCTCTTTCTTTCTGTGGCTTTCCGGAGCCCACTGAGACTCATTTTTCACTGGGTACCAGCGGCTGGTGGCCCCCCCTCTCATGCTAATAGAGCAGCCTTAAATAACGTGTCAGTGGGGAACACACACACACACACACACACACACACACACACACACGCACACGCACACACACACACTCCTGCTTTTCTCAAAAACGTTCTGGTTTGCCCAAAATGCAGTATGCAGTAACAGTATGAGAAAACAAATATGAGATCCTCAGTTTGCCAAAAATGCCCTGATGTCGTACTGATTCTGTAAAAATCTACAGTCTCCATCAGACCAGTCTCCCTCCCGTACTGTTTCCCACAATGCAAAGCGCCAGGTCAGAGATGGAGATGACGGACAGCAACAGGGAAATAATCCCAATCAGACCAAACCACATAAGACACAACCAGTTATCTTTGTTGATTCTCTAAATCATGAAAATCTAACATAATCTCTCGTCATCTTTTTTCAGACTGTAAGTGAACGCCACACTGCAGCGGCGTTTGACTTCCACTGGACGGTTGTTTACTTCCTCAGTCCAAGACCGGGCAGGCAACAAGACAGGACAGGTACACAAAAGACAACATCAGAAATACAGAAAATCAGCTCAAGTGAAAAACATAAGTACTTGAACCACACAGAGCCAGAGGCTGAAACAGTTCAGAAAAGTAAAAGTCAAATAAAGTGCTGTTCAGTTATAATGACATATCAAGCTAACAAAGGTAAGAGAATAATACAAAAGTCTATTAAATAATCAGGAATACAATCTGAAATTGTGATCTAAAAATCCTCTTACCCACAAAGCAAGCCTTCCCCAAAAGATTCTTAAGAATGTAAACTCTTTGGATTCTGCTTTTCGCCTTACTTACAATTAATTACTGTAAAAAATCATTTGTTTTTTTTCGGCTCTGTTGTATTCTTTGATGTTGTTGTTTTTTGTCGCCTGTGTTTGAATAGGCCTTTAAGTGCATGTATGCCTTAACCACTTCCAGGGACAGGGGGGGTCCAGAGTCTCTGGCCCCCTTGTTTTGGCGGTCGCGAGATGAAAAGTCCTCCTCCTCCATGTTCTCCCTGCTGTCCTCTTCACGTCTCATACTGTACTTAGCCAGCAGGTGGCAGCAGAGTTCCAACAGCACACTGACTCCCGGGACGCTGACATAACATCCCATCTGTTGTCCCCTCATGACATGAAAGTTTACATGATCCCCACCCCCTGAAATCACAGCTCACATTCCTGACTTGGCACGAGAGTGGAGCGGAGATCACGGTCTACAGAGACTCTGTTCATTTATTCAAAGTCGTCTGGAGCGCCACAGGAGTGTGTTTGGACGCCCCTCGACATTAAGAGACCGTGTTATCATGAGAGAGGTTCATTCTGGATTTCATGACGGCTCACACTGAAACTGAATCGCTGCCGTCTGTCTGCTCGAGCTGTGATTTAATGGCAGAGAGGAACGGAAGAACACTGAAGAATCATTCCCCAAGTGTTTATGACTATGTGTATGATGTGTATGTTGCACACAGACTAAGAGGTTGTTCATGTGGGAAACAGGATCTGAACTCAACGTCTATTTTTATTTAGATTTCTGGGTAATTTTTGCCTTTATTTATTGAACAGCTGAAGAGAGACAGGAAGTGTTGGGAGGAGAGAGAGCGGAGGGTGCGACTTTTTGATCCAGTAGATGTCTGATCTTAGAGTATATTTTAATATTAGATTTGTATTTATATCAAATGTGTTTTTCCCTCTAGATTAATGTAGTTTCTGCAACAAACTATTTTAATCTGCTCAATTCATCCACGCGTACACAAACACCAGGAGCACACCTTGCGTTTTGTGTTCCACTCCATGTTCATTTATTTACAGAATAAATATCTCTCTCTTCTCTCTCTCTGTGATTCTGCTCTCTTGGTTTTGCTGTCTCTCTGCAGGAGTTGTGAGTTTGTTTTTTTTTTTAAACAGGAGTTTTGTTATGTTGCATGGAGACATGAGGTCCTCACGAGTGCCTGCACTCTCTGCCCGCTCTCTTAAATAATTCAAAAATGTAATAAAAAACGGTCGAAAATATTCTATTCTATGTGGGAAAACACTGTTATTTCTCACAATGGGCTCCAAACACTTTGATTCAACTCAAATTAAAAGACTTCAACTTTACAAACATCAATTAGAAATCTTTTTGTCAACATCAAGTTGGATGTGATCTTTCCTTCTTGTGAGCCATGAGGATGTTGACCATGTCACACACACACACACACACACACACACACACACACACACACACACACACACACACCAGCCGGTCTACATGGTGCTATACGTGGACTTATTTTTCACTCACACCGATGGATTTAGGGGTGATATTTATTAAAGGCGACACCGTGTTTATATTGATGATGATGATGATGAAGATGGTTATGTTTGATGATGACGTTATTTAGGATGGTTTTGATGCTGATTAGATCAATAACAACTGTCGATGTTCCTCTGGTCACTTCCTGTCAGCACCTGTGCGTCTGAGCTGTTTGTTTTCACTTCCTGTCGTTGTCTCCTCCTCTCTCTCTCCTTGCTTGTCTTCTTCTTACTCTCTGATGTACGCAGCTTTAGATAAAAGCGTCTGATAAATGAATTGTAGAATTGTTTATACATTTTCCATCGACCAGCGTGCACTGTTGGGTGGTGAGCTGAATGGATCCAGCCTTGAGATGCATCATTGAATCATTTTCTTACAACATATACATTTTTTGCAGAACAGCTGTATCATTGAAAAGGATTCTCTCTCTCTCTTTTTTTCCTAAGGTTTATTTTTTCACACGTGTCATTGAGAGACAGGTCAGTGGATAGAGTCAGAAATCAGGGACAGAGAGAGAGTGGGGTGTGACATACCAAGAGGGAAGCCACACAATAACCACTGCACCACCAGCGTCCCCCCAAGACTCTCTTTCTTATGGTCATCGTGCGTCAGGTATCTTACCTGTCTTAGTGCAAACACGACAGGATGATTTGATAATGCAAAGCTGACCGACATCTTTTATAGATGTAGGAGCAGATTCAAAAATAGTAGGCGGTGTTTTGTGTAGAGAAACTGGACTCTGAAGGATTATTAATGTTCTCCTCCAGCTCACTTTCAAGCTCGGGAAAACTGACGCAGAGATTGAAGAGATGCACGGGGGATTGACGGATAACTGTGTAAGGTAGGAACCTTACTGGGGTTCTTTGGTACATAAATATGGACATGTGGAGAGAATTAACTTGAAAAAAATTAATGGCATGTTCAACAATTCAGTTTGACTCGGCTCTTTATTCATCATGCAGCGCATCAGTGGCTTAAAGTGTCGGCTTAGCCTCTACGATTAAGATATTTTTAATGGATGGCTGAGGCATAGGGACATTTGTGATTTTTAGGACTTCTTTGAATACAGAGGAAAAAGAAGCGGAAGAGTAAAGAGAAGTGGTGTTTATTGGAAAGAAGGCAGAGACAGGACAGATAACTGGAAGTGGAAATGAGAAAAATGAAAGAAAAAGACTCACAATATCATCTTCTCTTGGCAGTATGGGTGCTTGGGTTTGATCTCCAGCTTCTGTACGTCCATGTATCTGATCTTTGGTCCTTTTCTGGTGCACCTGCACTTGTAGGCTGTTCAAACACATGAAAAAGTAAAAACCAGACGTTAACAATCACATCGCAATATCATAATCATCATTGTTGGGAATTTAAAGCAGTGGAAACTGGACTCTGTGAAGGATTAGTAAAGCTCTCCTCCGACTCACTTTCAAGCTCGGGAAAACCGACGCAGAGATTGAAGAGATGGAAAAGTTAATACTTTATGATGTGACAGAAAAATTGGCTCCAAATCAGCCGTCTGTTTATCTTCGGAGCACACGCTGACAAGAGGAGATTACCAGAGCCAGAGTTTAAGTCTGGTGTCTGACTGTTGAGACGTCGCAAGCTTTACAAACAGGGCTTCAGTTACATCACATGTAAACGTGCTAAAAATAACCAGAGATGAATTAAAGAAGGGAGACTGTTTTCCACTTAGCATGGAGGTAGAACTTTAAATGAGAAAAGAGTGAGTTTAAAAAAAAAGGCTGAAAATCAATTTAAGTCGTTTTCACATCGACACTAATGAAGCGATCATTTCAGGAGGACCGCTCTGGATATTCTCCTGACCTGGTTGTTCACACATGCACCTCACAGCAGGACACTATCCCTGTCAGACAGGGGGGGGGGGGGTAAGACATGGAGGACGAAGCAGCAGAGTCCTCTATACGACGCTATAAAGAGAATATTAGTCTTTCTATCAATGCTGCGTGTAGTTGAAGAGAATCTCAATGTGAAGTAAAGAGAGGAGAAGAACATCCTGGAGAACAGGAAACATGCAGCAGCAGGTTGATTAGAGCACGGAGATGGTAGAGGTGGCGTGCAGACAGTCTATGGTCGTGCAGCGGTCACAGGTGAATAAAGGTCACCACCCCCTCCCACTGGCTCCTCCCACTGGCTCCAGGCGAATTCATCAGCTCACTCTGACTTTCTGCAGAATAAATATGAGGAGGCTGGAGGAGAAACATTCAGCTGTTTGTGACGCTCCTCCTGGACAAACGTTTTATACACAACCAGAAAATGAACCTATTAGCTGTTTTACACTGCAGCTGTGAGGACTGATAAAACCCAAGTTAATGCTTTCCCCCCTCTTTTAAAAACAACGTTTCTATGTATTGCACTAGTCGCACCCGATGCAAATGCATGCCCAGTTTCATCTCCGGCTCCATGCAGTCACACCTTTAAGGTCTCTTTACGGTTTTCCATCTTCTCAGGTCCACTTTTTCTACTTGTGATGACTTAATGCCGCTCTTTAAATGGACACAGGAAATGAGTTTTTTCCCGGGGTTGTTTATATTTGTGATGGGAGGTGATGACCCGAAGACTCCAAGGTTTCCCCCATCCATCACCAGCTATCTCTCTACACCGCCGTCGGCCTCTAAATCTGTCACCATGCACACACTGGAGCCAGCACGCCGCAACATACGAGGGACCAATAAAAGTGTGGACACCGAGGTTAACATCCATATACTGTAAGACAGGGTTTCCATGGGCATGTCAACACAGAAGAGATGGAATCATCTTACTCAAGTCATGCACCTGTTTGTATTTTCCCATGTTGGTAAGGACAGAATCAACATTTTTATCAAATCTAAACCTGAAAATGAAAATACTTCAAGAGCTTCAGAGTGAGTTTGAGCTTTTACCCTCTGGTCATCGTTTCAGAGAACCTGTGAGGAAGACTTAAAGACTGCAGGTCTCATTGATCCCCGGTGTAATGCATAAACTGGAAAACAGTGCGTCCTCAGGATGTTCTTCTTCCTTTATATATATTTGCACACCTCTGTATTGCACTTTGCATCACTTGGTAGAAATGTCCATTTTGGTTCGAGCTCTTGACTGATTTCATTTTTGATGCTTTTATCTCGATGTGTGTGACTTTACATTTAGTTTTTATTGACTCTAAATTATCTTTTTATGTTGTTGTCTAATAATTACGGCTGTCAGCATTAACGAGTTAAGCCCATTAATCTCATGTTATTTTGTCCCCTCAGGCTCTCCGTAGATAGTGGTCCTCAGTGTCTCCCTGTAGTCTCACTGATGTAAAAGAAGAACACTGCTGCATCTTTGAATGTCTCATTTCACTTTAACAAACTCTCAGACAGTAATAGCCACCTTATGACATCACACATTGACCTTATGACATCACACATTGACCTTTGCTACCGTTCCTTTGGGTTGTTTGACGTCATTTTGGGATCCCTAACCACTTCCTGTTTCTGTGCTTAACTTCATATCCTAATGTCACGCTAACAGAAGCTCCTTACCTTATTTCAAAATAAAAGCACACAGCAAGTAAAGTACTCTCAGTTTAAGACATTGCAATTTTTAAAAAAAATAAAAGCCTGACAAGTTTTACTTTTAAATGCAAAAAAACTTGAATTTCAAACATGCGATTAAAAATGTGATTACTCACGATTAACTATTGAAATTTAGCAATTACTCACGATTAAAAATGTGTCATCGTTTCCCTACTAAAAACACATCTGCATTCACCAATCTTCCCCTGATGTTCAGGCTTCATTTGCAACATTTACAAGAACATTTTTCCTCTTGAAATCTGTTATTTACAACTTAGCTTTAACATTTTTTTCCATCATTGTCCTCCATTTCCCAGACTCCATAACCTCCCCCCCCCCCATTGAATGCTTGGCTTTAAATGATTTCTGAACTCCACTTGTCCTGCCTTACACAAACAAGAGGCTCGGCGTGCCAACAATAAGACATTTTAAACCCCAGGTGTATTTATCGGGTCAATGCAGTCTTAAAGAAGGTCTACATGTTTATGGATGTAAAACTATCAAATCACCAAAAAGTGCAACAGTTCTGTTTCGATTAGGAGCGAAACGCTCGCAGCAGGTGGTTAGTTGGTTACGTAAAACACACAAACACACCACTGGGAGTGAGTGACTGTTTTCTAAGACAGTGCAGAGATTTGAGGATGTTTGGCTCCGACTTTACTCACGTTTAAAAAACAAGAAAAACTCAGAATATTACGAGTGATTTTTAAAGTTAATTCCTAATTTATGAACACATATAACTGCTGGAGAGGTGTCAAAAAAATATTGTTCCTATGATTGGCAGCAAGCAATATTATTATGTCGAAAGAAACACACAGAATGACATTAAATCCTTGAGTTTACCTTCTGCATTCAGGAAGTATAAGGCCACCACAAACAAAAGTAGCACCGCTGTGCACCGATGCATTTTCTTCAAGATGTTTTTTTCCCCTCAAAATCCGAGCTGTCCAAACCGCCTCTATGCGTTAAACCAATAAACAGTTTACTCAAAGTCTTCCGAGGGGTGAATTAGTTCCACTTGCAGCTGTTGGTGGACGACAGAAGTGAAGCAGCGCGGAGGGTTTCTCTGCTTTTGGAGCCCTTTTTGGAGCGCTGGTTGTGCAACTCCGTCTGTGCGTCCTGTGCGCTAGGATGAATCTCCAATCACTCGTTTAGGTCTCTCTCTCTCTCTCCTTCTCTCTCTCTCTCTCTCTCTCTCTCTTCGTCTCTCTGGTTGCTTTTCTGTGGGGAGGCAGGCAGCAGCTCTTTTTAAAAGCAGCCCGCTGTCCCTCTCTCATTAATATGCACGGCCAGTCAGCGAATCAAACACTTGTGGCCTGCCTGCGGAGGAGAAGTAGACAACAGACAGGGAGGGAGGAGAGGGGAGGAAAAACACTTATTCGGCCAATGATGAGGGGTGGAGTGACGTCAGGTAATGTAGACACTGTTTGTGGTGGTTAATATTTGGCTCTAATCATAACCTGTCATCTTCTGCGATTGTTATGAATGACAGAAAACTTTAGTGAGAAGAGATTTCTCTCATTTTGGGAGAATTTGCAACAATTGAACATTTTTAATTGGCTGAAAAACAACAAATTTAACTCATATTTTACGAGAATCAGAGCTGACTTTTCTGTGTCCAGTAGCCAAAAAGCATATGGGTCAGATCTTTGCTAATTATAGTCTGAACAAAATTCACTGTTTTCATAAAAAAACCATCCAAAGTGTGAGTGTTTCAAACTCTGTTAGGATGCTGAGACAATTTTGCACTTTGAACAAAATGTAAGCTTAAGAAATGTTTATCTCTTCACGGCCTTGAAATTGATCAGCAACTGAAGTCCGGAGGGACATCATGGCATCCAATCACGTGACTGGCACGGAGGCCTGGAGGGCAAAATTGGTTTAGGAAAATGGCGTCCACCTTTGAACACTCTGTGTAGCTGCAGCACGGGCTCTTTTCATTATCCATCTCTTCAAAACTCTGCATGTTTAAATCACCTGACAATCACAGAAAAACTGAGATATTAAGATAAACTGCTTTTGGGTACTTGTGACCCTCTTACATGGACACTATTTCATAAAAACAGCAAAGTCCTCACCAGAGTTATGGTTTGAAGAGAATCATGTTAACTGGCGACTTCCAGCCAAATGCATCTGTGGTTGTCGTAGTTACAACAAATGTTGAAAAGTGTTTAAAGAGACACTCTTTAAAGGAGCAATATGTAACTCTGACAGCTAGTGTTTAAAATGGGTACTGCAGTCCAAATTCCAAACATCATAGAGAGCTGCCCCCCCCTCCCCCCCCCAACAATAGTTCAAGCTAACATGGTAACTGTAGGTTTCAATAGCACCAGTGATGACTTTTTGCTAATATTTCCTCTGGTTGAACACATTTGACTTAAAAAAAAACAAAGTAGAAGGTAAACAGTTCTTAACGGAGCAATAACACACTGGAGGGTTCTGATGTATGAAAATAATCATTAAGTCAAACGCAGCGTGTAATTTCCTCAGCTGAGCCTGTTATCTTCTGGAGGCCGACAAGGACGGGTCAAAGAGTTTGTGACGTTAGCTGGGACGTAAAAGCAAACAGTTAGGAGAATCCTTGGCAGCAGAAAAAAAAAGGAAACGTAGCCACATTAAAATGTTTTTGTTCCAATAATATTACTGATGTGGTCCTTTAATATTTAAAACTTTGATCTGGGGTGTTGGATAGCCTAGGGTGCCCCGTGTACAGATGCTGTAATCCTCATCGCAGCGGGTGTGGGGTTGAATCCGACCTCTGACCATCGTTGTATGTCATCCCTCGCTCTCTAATAACAAAATTGAAGTGTGGACATCCACCCACACCTCCACCATCTGTGGACGTTCTCGCCCTTATACCACATCAACAGCCCGAGGCGTCTCACTCAGCCACAGTAGTTTCACGTTGAAGTCACTTGTAAACTCCGGCGCCTCACTTTTCTCAGACATGGATGGGAAGCGTCTGTATGAGACGCTGAGGGATGATGACAAATGTTCGGTATGTGAGGAGTTGGGAATGAGATCGGCCGGTTTGTAGAGGTGACCTCTGACCTCTGAGCAGAAGAGCACTCACGTGTGAGATTTGGAGAAGCAGAAACCTCTTTGATTGAATGTCAGCTATTGATGCATCAAGAATTAACGGTGAAAAAGTGAGTAATACTCCGAGTAGTTTTTGGAGAAGTATTTTCTAACGCTACCTTTACTTGAGTACCGATTGTCTCCGTCAACCTCCTTTCAACTCAAATGAACAGCTTCAGAACACTGTTATTGCACTTTTATTATTCAAAGCTGATCCTATTTTCCAGTTTATTCAGTGGAAATGAACAAAAGAAGCTATTGTACCTGATGATGTCATCAGGCTGAACCATTGACCTGTAAGAGATAGCCCTGAGAAGAAGGTCTGACCCCTCCCACCTGGGACGCTGACCAGAGGATTAAACAGAATTCATCATCATCCTGCATCAGGAGAGATGTGTGTGTGTGTGTGTGTGTGTGTTCACTCTGCCCTCTCTCTTTGTGAGTGTGTGTCTCTGTTCGACTCCTTGCCCTGGACACTGACGCAATCAGCTGCTGTCATCACTCAAACCTGGCAGCCTTGAAATGTCCGTTTGCCCGTGAACCTGCATGTGTGTGTGTGTGTGTGTGTGTGTGTGTGTGTGTGTGTGTGTGTGTGTGTGTGTGTGTGTGTGTGTGTGTGTGTGTGTGTGTGTACCGGCATGTTTACTGGCATGTACATCAGGAAAATGAAAAAAAGTCGTGTTTATAGACTGTATATCAAAAAGGACGGTACAGCTGCTCTCCTAAGGTGAAGCCATCACATTTGGTTCTCCCCCCACTAACTGGCTGCAGTACAGGTCATAGGCTCCGCCTCCATCATGTTGACAGATAGGACAGGACGCATGCTTGCAGAGAGCTCCATCAAGAATAAACAAGCAAGGGGCGCTGGTGGCGCAGTGGTTAGTGCGTGCGCCCCATGTATGGAGGCTTTGGTCCATCAAGCAGGCGGCCAAGGTTCGAATCCCACCTGTGGCTCCTTTCCTGCATGTCATTCCATACTCTCTCTCCCTGATTTCTGACTCTATCCACTGTCTTATCTCTCCATTAAATGCACAAAAAGCCCAAAAAGCCCCCCGAAAAAAGAATAACTAAGCAGGCCCCGGCTACTAGAGAGGTAGCAAACGTTGCTGTAGTGTGTGGCACTGACGGACCGCGGCGGGAATGATCAGTTACCCAGGCGTTTATAACCTCCCGTCTTGACCATTGTAATGGAGTCCTGCTTGCATGTACAAGACTCTGGACCCAGCTGCCAGGGTCTTCAACCACACCAAGTCTCTGGCAGCGCATCACCCCAACCCTGGCCACCTCCACCGGCTCCCAGCATCAACTATAAAATACTCCTTCTCCAGCCTCCTTCACCTGTACACCTGTCCTGGACCCGCCCGTCTCCATAGGTCAGCGTCACAGCCTACTCCCTTTGGAACACTGTCCTCTGAAACATCAGTACCACCCCCACACCCCCCTCCAACTTTGGACACATTAAAGAAACTCCTCAAACACACTCTGTTCATCCCTACAACCTCTCTTACCTCCCATCCTTCGTTTTTCCCGGCTCTAAATCTCATCACTAGTGCAACATTTCAGCGCCTGTTGCAGGGAGAGATCTGAGTTGTCATACAAGGGAAGGAGGAAAGACACTGATGCCGTGTGAATCCACCGCGTGAGTCTTCTTGATCTCGGGATAAAAGACATCTGTGAGCTTGTCTGTTCTCGTCTCCTGCTGAAGTGAGCCGTAATCAATCGGACATCTGTTGTCTCCATCAATTAGATCGCTCGAGCTTCAATGAATAACAAAGGAAAAGAAAAACATGAAGAAGCTAATCAGTTTTAAAAAAGTACGAGGGAGCTCAGCCAAAAGGAATCTGTCTCGACATGACGATAAAAATGACGTCATTCCTTCTTCTAATCAGTCATGAATGGTGATGGAGTTCTCATGGAGGACAGCGAGAATTTATTTAGATGTGTTCCTGTGTATTTGTTTTTATCGGCTGTAACAGTTTAAATTGTGTAATGTACCTTTAAGACGCCTTGATTCCTCCTTAGTTAATGACGTGTACAGGGATCGTGCAGACAGTCTATGGTCGTGCACCGATCACAGGGAATAAACATCACCGCCCCCCTCCCACTCGCTCCAGGTGTGGGAGGGTCTGAAACTCAAAGAGCTGCTTACTTGTCCATTCTCTTATTTCTGTTGTGCATTTTATCCTTTACTTTTAGTTATCAATCCTTCTGCTTCTTCAGGGTTTTTTTTTCCAACTTTCTGTGATTGTAACGTCTCACAGATAAGCACTCTACAAAATAAAACCAAAACAATGTACATTACTCTCCTCAACACAAATTAACGGACATATCAAAACTCTCCTTGTCGTCCCTCAGGCTGCAGAAGTACCTCTGGTTTTAAATCTCTGCTTTGAAGTACTTAAGTTTTTGCTTAAAATAGACTCTCTTCAGTCGGAGCAGGGCCGACTCATGACCCTCATAAGAGGCTCTGCAGAGTGAACAGTTCAACCGGGACTTTTCCATTTAAACGGTTTCTTTTTAATCATGGCAGGACTTTTAGAGGCAAGCTGTACATCGTAATAAAGTGAGCAAACATTAGAACAACATTGTAAAAACACTTTACAGAGAGCAGTGGCACCACAAGGTGACACACATTTAATTTCGTAGTATGCACAAGAAGAAATCCAGTATGTGTAGGACACCTTTACAGTAGCTTCTAGGGTTCAACGTGCACATGCATGGTCACAGTGAGTGAGCGAGCAAGTGTGTAAGAGAGAGAGAGAGAGAGAGAGAGGGAGAGCCAATGTTAAATTAAAACTTTAAAACTCAGATTTACCCGATGCACAAGAAGTATTCAGACTCCTGGCCTTAAAGACAACTGCTAAACAATGGGAGCACTGACTAGATTAAAGAAAAGAAAACATTGTTATTGAGCTCGAATCTAACCGTCTACATGTTTGATTTGACACCGTCATCAAGCCCATGTCACCTGAAGAAGCTGAGGTAGAACATACCGTTGATGTTTGCTGCTGTGAGGGGAAAAGGGGGGAGTCTTCTGGGCTTAGAAAACAGTCACTGATGAATGTCATTTTGGCAGTAAACATGTCATAATCTGACACTTTGCAGGACAGTAAGATTTTTCTTTTACTTCATCAAGGTAGTCAGCTGTTTTGAAAAATTAAAAAAAGGCTGCCAGAATACTTTAAGCCCCATCCGGCC